CCCTTCTTCCACCGTGTATGGTCCCCTTTGTAAGAAAGAACAAATCTTAAGTGTAAGACAGGGTGGCTTATTTGAATGTCAGTTAGTTGTGTGTTACAGCCATAGGAGACACAGAAAGACTGTCTTCCCCACCCCCCCCCCCGCCTTTCTCTTCCTTCCATCCGCCATTACACTATGACCAACTTTCTAAAACTTGGTTGACCACTTTGAAGTAAAATACTGATTAAGCTGCTATTAATGGTAACAGTATGACAGAATTCACGTTGTGGTTCAGTTTTTCTTTCCAGATACTTTAAGTGAAAAATCTCAGGAGTAGCAGTTCTCTGAGTTGTTGAATGTATCCCTGTTTGCTTATTTGAAATTCTGCCAATTAGTTACTTATTAGCAGTAGAATGTTACATTTATGTAGTATTTTTCCATCACTTAGCACAGTGCCTTGCACATAAGACTCTAGATGAAGGCTTGTTGAATTATGACTTTTTTAAGTATCTCAGATATCACAATAACCAGCATAGCGCTTTACATCTTACAAGTCGTTTTGCGCATATTTTTTCACAGCAACTCCCCATCAGCTTTCATGTAGCTTTATATTATTTTAGAACTGTTTCATACAGATGGGGAAACTAAGGTTCAGAAAAATTTAGTAAGATTTTTACCTCAAATCTTTCTGACTTAATAGTCTGCGGACCGTGCTGTACTGTAACATTTCTTCCAGTATCTTCCACAGTTTTCCTAGTGTTTGTCCTACAGTTAATGACAAGGCTGGGACTGGAACCTAGCTCTTAGCTCTGTGCCCTTTCCACTGTGTAATGCAATCATTAGGCTCTTGATCTGTCCCCAAGGGAATATGGAGGAGAAAGGGTTCCTAAGTATCAAAGACCTCCCTTTGGAAAACGAAGGTAGAAGTCTTTTTTTTTTTTCTAAAACATTGTCTCCCTAAAGCATAGTTAATAATAATTAGCTTAAATTTATTCTGATATTACTTAAGAAATTAGGTCCATCTAGGAAAGAGGCTACTGTGAGGGCTTGACTTTATACAGTAGACTACATGCAGGTCTCTTATTTTTGCTGTCACAATCTGATGTTACACCGAGTGTTCCTTTGGCCACTAACTGACTTCTGCTTTTCTTCAGTCATTTGTTCAGGAAAACTTGTCAAGAGTTTGCCAGCTCTGGTTCCCATGCCAAGTACTGTACAGGGTGCCACAGGCAATCATAAGAAGCTCTTCTCTCACCTTGAATCTTGGCCACATCATGTGCATTACTAAAATTAAAATTTTTGCATTAAAACGCTTAAAGAAATCATATTTGTTTTTTTTAATTGTATGCTGGTTAAGTTTATAGCTATAGTTGGCACATAGTCAAAAGAGAGAAGTATTATATACACAGTGAGTTTCGTCTGCATATACAAATTATGTTCCTCTAAAGTGTTTTTAGCTGTATGAAGTGTTACTGAAAAAACAAACCTCGAGCTAATGTATGGCTGTTGCTGGTCATAATTACTGGTATAAATACCAGGATCATAGAAGGGAACTTAGAGCCCTAAGACAAGATTTTAGAGCTGCCAAAATTGACAATGACATCGTATCACCTGAAATATCAGGAGCAGAGGTACCCCCAGAGTGCTACACAGTCCTCATCAGGAGACTGGAACTGCCCCAGTGCTCCAGCGACCGCGTAATGACTCAGAAAGTCAGCCAGCTCTGGGACGTCTTCCTGGAACCCCCAAACAGAGAAACACATCTCTTTGGACATAGTGAAGAGGGTTTACAGAAGTTTCACAGGACACAGATCATGTGGTGTGAAAGGGGGCGAGTCTCGAGCTCTGGTCTCAGAAATGACGTGTCCCCGATTCTCAGTTAGGGTTTGTCCCAGAAAAAGTCTCCCTAGGAGCAGACAGTGCATTGATGAAGTGGCTTCTGTAAAAACGGATCCAGAAATCTTACCACTATGTCTTACATTTATTTTATAGCTTCATTAAAGATTAGTTTTAAGTTCATATTCACTAGTTCAGTTGTAAACCAAATGGGGGGGATGGGAGAAAATGAAAGTCTCCACACAGATGTGCTCCTCTCTTTTCTGAGAAAGAATAAGGTATAGGGTTTTTAGCATAAACTCCATGCCCTATAAATTCTTCTTCGGTTCCAAAATTCCTGTCACATTCGCTGTTCCTCGACGTGATCTCTTGTCAGACTGCCTGAGATACAAGTCTTATTTATGTTTAAATTTGTGAGGATTCCTAACACTCTCTTCCATTAGAGGTAGTTAGCTGGCAGAATTTTCCTGTGACTTGTGACACTGGTGTAGACGGACTCTTGACAAGGTCAAGAAGTGTAATGGAGGCTTGCTGTATTTAAACTCAGAACCTTTGGAAATAGCAGCTGCATGTTCCAGTTAAAGGGTGGCTAAAGGGCTTGCAGCTGAGGTCCTCTGGCTAATGTTGGTCTTAAATACCCATTGTGACCCTAATCCTACCCCTAGTTCCCACATTGGTTGCATTTAGTGCTTCAGGATGTGTCACTACTGGGCAAGAGATACTCAGAGATTCAGGCCATGAAGGGTTTCATTAGAGCAAAGGAATTTTAGTGAGCTATCCAGGGCTCTCAACCTCAGGGTTTATAGGAAAAACCCCTTCATAACTTCCCATCCTCTGGTCCTGACTGGCAGTTTCCTCTCTGGGTCTTTCGAGACCCTTACAAGAGTATTATAGTAGGCATTTCACATTGGAAATAGCCTATGGCAGTATATTCCAAGTGTTAGTTCCAGCTAAGAGCAAGTACTTTTTTTTTTTTTTTTAACATTTATTTATTTTTGAGACAGAGAGAGAGAGAGAGAGAGAGCATGAACAGGGGAGGGTCAGAGAAAGAGGGAGACACAGACTCTGAAACAGGCTCCAGGCTCTGAGCTGTCAGCACAGAGCTCGATGCGGGGCTCGAACCCATGGACTGCGAGATCATGACCTGAGCCGAAGTCAGACGCTTAACCGACTGAGCCACCCAGGCGCCCCCAAGTACTTGATTTTTTATTAATTTTTTGTCCTTACACAATTGCCATCAAAATATATTCATTAATTGAGGACCTGCAAAAATATGCACATGCTAACTGAAACCAGTGAGCAGTTATTTTTTGACAGTTTAAAAATAATCAAAAGAATTGTAAATCAAGATGTTCTCTCTACTAGAGTCATAAAAATTCTGTGCCAGAATGGGCCTTCTATAATTAGGTGATCCTGTCATTTTTCTAGGGGAGAAAAATCCATAGGCTTTTCTAGCACAGAGCTAGTAACAATTCTGAGTAGAATGCGGTTCTTTTGTCTCTCTTTTTTTTAATGTTTATTTACTTTTGAGAGAGTGAGTGGGGAGGGGCAGAGAGAGAGGGAGACAGAATTCCACGCAGGCTCTGCACAGACAGCAGAGAGCCCGATGCAGGGCTTGAACCCACAAACCGTGAGATCATGACCTAAGCTGAAGTCAGACCCTTAACCTACTGAGTCACCCAGGTGCCCCCAGTGTTTTGTTTTGTTTTGTTTTTCTCTTAGCCCATTGTTCTACTTCTCTTCCCTTTCCCTTTTGGTTGAGCAGCTTTTGGAAAAATGTGTTCCTTATGGCAGTAGTTCCAAGGGATGTTATTAGATGTTATAAGAAGTGTATATGAAGGGAAGGGACTCTATGGTCAATTAAAATTGAGGAATTCTGAGTTTGTTTCCTTTCGGTGGGACTTCCTAGAGTTTTTAAACCTGTTAAATATTGTGAATTTATGAGGGGACAAAGACTGTTTACTAGACTTACTTGACCTTAAACTGCTCCCCTGCCCTCCCCCTCTTAGCAGAGCTTCTCCAAGGACTTCTTGTCCTTTGGGAAACATGGCTTTTGAGGAAGTTTACAGCTTTTTTAGGAGACATCCTTAATGGAAACCCTGAATGGTAAATCTATTACCATGGTTCCATGTAAACTGTAATAAATCTCAGAGTTTAATGAGATACCAGAAAGAAAACATATTTGCTGTTCAGAGCTATACATAAAGTATAGAGATTCTTTTCCACCTATTATGGTGTGTAAAATCAGTATTTGTGTTTAGTTTTGCAAGTTTTTCAAGAATCTATTAATGTGCAAATATAGTGGTGGTATATTGATATTACATTTTAATAATGCTTTTGTATGTCACTTTATAGTTTTCAGACTGCTCTCATAACAACCCTGTGAGATAGGCAGGTGTTAAGTATTATTGAATGAGGCATTGGAGGCTCACAAAGTTTTTTTTTGTATGTGATTTTTCCCTTAAGTTTATACCACAAAATTATGGAGCCAGAATTCACTTGCAGAACTTCTGACTCCAAGTCCAGAGTTCTTTCCTCCACACCTGGTTTCTTATTTTAATTCTTGCTTTATATCTTAAAATGAAAGGTGTGGAAGTGAATCTTCAAATAACATCATGTTGGCTTATTATCAAATCCTATTTCTTTTCTTTTTTTCTTTTTTCTTTTCTTTTTTTTTTTTTTGCAGTGGCCCAGAAAGTGTAACTCTTATTATAGCTATCCCAAAGAAAATCCTTTTTCTGTCCTTTGTAGTGCTCCTTGTTTGGGTGACTGGAGGATATTTCAGATACAATGATTTTAAAACCAAGACTAGGTGTATAGTTGTAATTGCCTATATAACTTTTGGAAAGGTATCATCTCTGCATTCTCAGGCAAAGTAGAGATGGTTTGAAGGCAAAAAGAGTTTGTTCAAATACAATACATATTCTTTATTCTCACACAGAGCCTACTTCTTAGCTTTAACTTGCTTTGACAACCTACTGATGTAACTTCTTTGTACATGTGAAATATTTATATTTTGAAATAAAATTACGAGTGTTAAATGAATCAGGTGGTAAACTTAGTCTCATTTCTGTTGAGAAATTTGATCTTCAGTGAAGTGAAACTTTCACGAATACATCTGTCTCTTACTTAGGCCTTAAATATTTTCCTTTGGCACCAATGCCTACACTGAATTTTTATGTAACATGGGCAACTTACATAAGGGAAGATGTGTCTGGAGAGTGGATGCTGGGCACCTTAAAGAGGTGAAAAGGTCCAACGCTGAGGCTGGAGCCCTCAGTGCACTCGTGAAGGTGGCCTTGGTAGACAAGGAAGTGGTAAGGTAAGTGGCTGGGGAGTAAGAATCCGAGGAAAAGCTGGTCAAAGGAACTGCACATTTTGCATGAAGAAAACAAGCCCATGTTAATGGCTATCTTCAACAGCAAAGATAAACGTGCAGCACTGGCAGATGGAGCTGAACCCCCACATGGGAAGCACATTTCAACAAGTGCTTGGGAAAGAGCCTCTGACACTTGGAGCTGGTGGTATTCTGCTCATCTATCTGACATCGATGGAGAAATGATCCTGGCAAAAGTGAAAGGGTGGACTCACCAGCCTTGGATTATTTTCTGCTCTGCTAGTTGCTTATTGGCAGATAGGCTAGTTCACAAATATTTCTCCATGCTTCTCAGTCTATTGCTTGAGCCTAGGACCCCTTCACTGGGTGTGTTTCTGACAGCTGCCTTTTTGGCTTTGCTTCTGGAACTCCTGAGGAAAGGGGTGTTCAGCCCTCCCTCCCATCTGATCATGCGGGGGCTCCCTGATAGCTTTACCTTTAAGTGAGTTTAACCAGAAATATACACTAATGGTCTTTTTTTTTTTTTTTAAGAGCACCCACAAGTAGGGGAGAAGGGCAGGGGGAAGGGGAAGGGAGGAAGAGAGGGAGAGAGAGTATCTTAAGCAGGGTCCAGGCTCAGCCCAGAGCCCCACATGGGGCTTGATCTCATGATCCTGGGATCACAACCTGAACCAAAATCAAGAGTCAGAGCCTCAACCAACTGAGCTGACCGATCTTTTCAGTCAATAAACACCTATTAGGAAACTGCTCTGGCGTAGCCCTAGGAAAAGTAATTCTGAAAAGTAGTTTTAAAATGTAAAAGTGTTGAACAGTAGATGAAGCTTCCCATATGCTCTAGTTAATTTCCTTTTGAAAAGTAGCCTGAAAGATACCCAAATCATTGTCTCCTTGACAAGTACCCAGGTACTCCTTAAGACTGCATCATCGTATGTTTCATGCTCAATCGAGCCCAAATTATGAGAAAGGGTCAGAAGAGGAGCAGGGGGAAATAGGACCTTCCGGAGAAGCTCCAGAAAGACGCTTTACCGGTAGAATTCCTGTCTCAGGGTAGAAGACCCTTCCTACGCACCGGACTGTGGTTCTGCTCTACCAGTTAGTTCAGCTTCCAGAAGTCATCGTGGGAATCGGAGTTAGAACGAGTCACCTATCAGGAGGACGAAACGCTTTGCTAGGGACGATTGTCCTTGCCTCGGTAAGAGGCCACGTGGCCGTGGGAGGCTGGCAGGTGTCTGGTTCAATCAGCCCTGGCGAGAGAGAGATACGGGGCGGGGAAGGGGGACAGACAGAGACTGACCCTCTCGCAGAGGGAGAGGGCGAACCCTAGACCCGAGCGCGCGGGGGCGTGGCCTCCGGGGGGCGGGCCCCCCGCGGGGGCGGG